AAATACACTGAGTTGCTGATTAGCCCACTGTAAGAATGTTGTCCGCACCTATTGAGCGTTGTCATAGAATAACATTTTCGCCTTCGTGCGAATCTCTCATCGCAAGGCTACCCTGAATTTGAGACTGACGTTCCCATGAAGTGGAAGCTTACAAGGCAACGTATGACGTTATCTATTATAAATCAGACTTCTCATTTTGTGGTAGCCTATCTGCTTTACACCGGGCTTCCCCTTATATTTAGATGGTATTTGCACCGCGCCTGCATTAACCCTTCGTCCGTGATGTGGTGGATACTTTCACACTACCTTTTCACTTCAGACTAAGGGTTACAGGTACCTTCATACACGCCACAACAAACAGCTTCAGATCTTAAACTGTATGAAAAACAGGGAAATTAAACCTGTTGAATAAGTAGAGTGCATGCAACCAACAGCTTATCAAAGGGAGTTTGTAGCGTCACACACTTCCCCAAAATCAATAGCCTAGGGTTTGACGACTTTCGACATTGATGCTGACCTTGATAGTTTAACTGGACTCGCTAAGCTGAAGGCACCCGGTCAAGCATCCTCGCCATTTGGCACGCTGTCGTGTTACGTTGCATTGCTCGTATTCGACTCTCTAGCCAGTTAGTTGGAACGCATCGGTATTTTGGCATAACCATCCAAATATACTATTCCATCCGACTACGCTATCGTGTTCTTCCTTGGTCTCGTATTCGTGGGTATATAACAAGTTCGAATAATTAGTGATTGGTCTTTGCGTCTGTCAAGTTCGCACCAGGACAAATCCTAAATTGGTGAGCCCGACGTGATCACATATCCCGACCAATAACAGGTATTGAATTGGTGAGCCTGTTCCATTTTATATTTGTTTATTGTTTTCATTTCGATAACATTTATATATCCATTTACTACACTTTCTCATGTCCGACCACACTCCCAAGCTTATTCGTATTAAGCCGACATCGAACACGATCCAACTCGTGCCATATTGGCCAGACAATGCAGAAACATGGTTTCTGTATGCCGAGGCCGATTTTCGAGAACAGGGTGTCTCAGATCCTCATTCTCGATTTCTTGCTGTCATACGGTCACTACCGCGAGAATTAAACAGGTATGTTACAGCAAACATGTTTAATCCTGAAGTAAGTGACCCTTATGCACTTCTAAAGGCCGCACTCTTGAAGAAAAGCGATCTCACAGATCGCCAACGTCTAGACGAATTGCTTCGTAACATCGAGCTAGGCAGCCACTCAGCTACTGAAGTCCTCGCACGCATGCGAGAAGTAATCGGTGCACGAACATTTGACGATGGTTTTTTCCGAGAACTATTTCTCTCGAAACTACCACAACCGGTGCAAACCGTGTTGGTGACACTCCAGTCAGTCCCACTCGACGACCTGGCAGCCTCAGCAGATAAAATACTGGAGATATCCAGCAGACCCGTCTCCAACGTATATTCTATCTGCGACAAACCAGAGCGCCAGGATTCAGAGGTGACCAAGTTGTGCAACTCTGTAAGTTGCTACGATCTCGAAGTCCTAGATCACGTAGCACTTCACAGAAACGCACCTTGGCGCATCGCAGCAAGTCGCGTGGTAGCCCTAAAACGAAACCCAACAGGGTGGAAAACCCTGAATGGTGCTGGTTTCATAACACTTACGGGGATGAAGCCAGAAAATGTCGTAAACCATGCCGTTTTAAGAAGGACACAAACTCGGGAAACGGTCACGCCGGCACGTGCTCACGGCAACCGTAGCCGGCGGAAAAAGCCGTTTGCTCTACGTCACCGACATTAAAACGAAAGTCCGCTACCTCGTCGACACCGGCGCAGAAGTTAGCGTTCTTCCAGCAACGACAAAGGAGCGTCATCTCGACCCATCCTTCAATCTTCAAGCAGCCAACGGCAAGGCAATCGCGACATTCGGGAGACGGTATGCCTACCTCAACTTAGGTTTACGCAAACCTACCCACTGGATTTTCCTCCTGGCTGACGTCTCTATGCCCATCATTGGCATAGATTTGCTAAACCATTACGATCTACTCGTAGATGCTCGCCGTCGACGACTGATAGATAACAACACAAAGTTATCTATTGGCGGCACCACCTATGTAGGTCCGAGTTTAGCCATCGTTAGGACTAAACAATCAGGCGACGCGTCCTACCAGGCAGTTCTGGAGAAATATCCAGAGTTACAGCAACCGAAGCACACTCTTCCGTGCATAACCAGCAATGTTATGCATCACGTCACAACCACAGGTCCACCTGTGGCATCCAAAGCGCGCCGTCTAGCCCCCGATAAGCTCAAAACGGCGAAAAATGAATTCGACCACATGCTCGAACTGGGCATTATCAGACCGTCAAACAGTCCTTGGGCATCGCCATTGCACATGGTCCCCAAAAAGGATAGCAACGACTGGCGTCCAACCGGTGATTACCGAAGGCTTAACGCCAAAACAACTCCGGACTGCTACCCGATACCTCACGTTTACGACTTGACCGCAACCTTATGCGGAATGAACATTTTCTCCAAAATCGACTTGGTCAAAGCGTACAACCAGATACCTATGGCAGCAGAAGATGTCGCGAAAACAGCCATTATTAGGAAAATCACCTCAAACACTTGGACCTCGCATTCGAAAGACTTAAAAAACATGGCATCACAGTTAACTTACAGAAGTGTGAAATAGGAGTTGAATCACTCAGCTTCCTTGGGCATACCATTGACAACAAAGGTATACGCCCATTGAGAGATAAAGTGGCGGCTATCACAAACTATCCAGAGCCGACCACTGTGAAACATCTCCGCACTTTCAATGGCCTGGTAAGTTATTACCGAAGGTTTATCCCTAACTGTGCCTCTGTCATGAGACCACTCACAGATCTACTTCGAGGAACTGCGAAGTTCGTGTCTCTGGACAACGCGGCTAGACTTGCTTTCTCTAAAGTCAAGGAAGCCATTTCGAACGCAACCATGCTTATGCATCATGACCCCAATGCTCCTCTGAGTATTGCTGTTGATGCATCTGATTCAGCAATTGGAGCAGTTTTGCAACAGTTGACTGACAACCAGTGGCAACCGTTAGCCTTTTTCTCGAGGCGGCTGCAAGACGCGGAAACAAGATACAGTACATTTGGTAGGGAACTCCTAGCCATGTACTGTTCTGTACGCCATTTTCGACATTCTGTGGAAGGTCGTGATTTCATTATTTTCACAGACCACAAACCGTTAACGTTTTCCCTCAGCTCGGCGTCTGACAAATACTCCCCTCGTGAGTCGCGACAGCTGGATTACATTTCCCAGTTCACGTCAGACATCCGCCACATTTCTGGAGCAAACAACTCCGCAGCCGACGCACTATCTCGAATAGCTTCGATAAACTATATCGAGGGTATTGATCTCGTTGAACTAGCTCGGCGTCAAAAGGAAGACCTTGAGCTGCATCATGAGTTGTCGTCCACAACTCTCAAACTGCGACTTTGTCCTGTTGGATCAGACAAGGATGCAATTTTGTGCGATGTCTCTGCTAGTCAACCACGCCCAATAGTTCCGAAGAGTTGTCGACGCAACGTCTTCAATACGTTGCACAAACTCTCTCATCCAGGTGTACGAGCCACCATTAGGCTTATCGCACAACGTTTCTGCTGGCCTGGGATGAACAAAGACGTTAAGGAGTGGGCCCAGTCGTGCTTAGCTTGTCAAAAGTGTAAAGTCACGCGACACACGAAAAGCCCTTTAGGCTCATTTCTAGCCCCAGACATGCGTTTCGACCACGTCCATATAGATATTGTAGGACCCCTACCAGAATCTAATGGATGTACCTACCTTTTCACCTGTGTTGATCGTTTCACACGATGGCCGGAAGCAGTACCCATTAAAGATATTACTGCCGAAACAGTTGCTCGTGTTTTCGTCGAAAGATGGATCGCGAACTTCGGATGTCCATCCTACGTCACAACCGACCGTGGGCGCCAATTTGAGTGTGGACTATTTCACGCTCTAACGGCACTTTTAGGTTGCACTCGGTTCCGAACGACAGCCTACCATCCACAAGCAAATGGCATGGTAGAGCGTTTCCATCGACAGCTGAAAGCTTCCCTTTCAGCTACAAACATACCTCAGTGGACCGAGGCTCTGCCTCTAGTCCTACTAGGTATTCGTAACGCGTTGAAAGTTGATGCTGGATGCACTCCTGCAGAACTCGTCTATGGGACCACTCTTCGCCTACCAGGTGAGTTTGTTTCCCCTTCAACTTTCAAACATGTTTCCGACAGGGCATCTTACGTGACTAGGCTTACAAACGCAATGCGTTCAGTTAGGCCTTCTCCGATTAGACCGCAAACGACTGATGTTTTCGTCCACCCCAGTTTACAGAAGACATCACACGTGTTTGTTCGCCACGACGCTGTTCGTCGACCACTTGAACCACCCTACGACGGGCCGTTCAAAGTGATTAAGCGACATGAGAAATTCTATGTAATTGAGCGAGGCGGACGTGAAGATACTGTCAGTATCGACCGTTTGAAACCAGCTTATTTCGAAGGCAACCCCATTGTAAGTGACGTTTCAGCTCGCTACATCCGACCGACGGATGACTCAATTATCGAAATTCTCGACGATGTGCCTGGTAATGCACAGCTGCAACAACCATCGGCGCAACAAAAAACACGATCAGGTCGAACCGTCAGGTTCCCAGAGTACCTGAAGTCATATTCAACTTAGCTATGTGTGTGCCAACCATTTTTTTTCGAGGCACTATTTTTCTTATTTACCGGCAATGCACAAACCCTCGTACACTTTGCCTTTTTATATCAATTTTTATTACCATGTAATAAAACTTAAAAAAACGGCGAAGATAAGCGTAAATTTTTATTTTTCGACACGTTTATATATAAATAATTCCCATTTTTACGCAACGTTTTCGTGGTATTAAAGACTTTTATTTATATTCCAGGTGCAACGAGCACTGGACGGAACGTCGAAAGGAACAGATGACCGCGACCGACGTACAATTTCATTTATTGTATTTTATTTATTTAATCGCCACGACACCCTAGAATAAGGTTCAGACAACCGGGGCCACCTCACGCAGTGAGCCCATCGGAAGAGTTTTACCAGTGGAGAAACCACTGGGTTTTTACTTCCGGCTGGTATCGTCTTAGGGTCCTCACGAACCCACTAGGGGGGGAGTGATCTGTAGCGTCATACACTTCCCCAAAATCAATAGCCTAGGGTTTGACGACTTCGACATTGATGCTGACCTTGATAGTTTAACTGGACTCGCTAAGCTGAAGGCACCCGGTCAAGCATCCTCGCCATTTGGCACGCTGTCGTGTTACGT